AGCTGGTAATACTGTGGAGAACTGACAGCTTAAGTGACGCGCACGGTTTTTTGTATGAGGGAAAAGCGCACCTTACACCACCCCTGACATGCAAAAACCGACCTGTGCGAAGAGAGGAGAAAAAAAGCTGACGGAAAGGTTTTCCAGATGACTTTTGAGTGGACATGTCAAAACTTATGAGAGTGGCCAGATCCCGCAAGAACTGGACAGCTTTTACGCCGGGCAGTGCCCGGTGTGTCGTGAGGGTACAGCTCGCGAGCCCACTGGACCGCCGGCGCTCGCTCAGTGACGGCTCGCGGCTCCTTGGGAGCGGCGACCGCCGGCGCGGCGCCGGCCGCGTAGGCAGAAAATGGATTCCTCTAATTTCGTGTAAGATGACGGCCCGATACGGGCCGGTGATACGCTCCCCGACGGGCAGCGGCCGAGGACACGTGCTGTTACAAATGGTGGCGCGCGCTGGACTGTGACCCCGCGGGCCGGCCCGGTCGACTGCGCAGGCAGCTCGGGCTGACGACCGCTCGGGGGTCGGCACCGCCCTCCTGTGGGCTGGGGCGCCTCCGGAGCCGCTGCTGCCCGGCCGGGCCGGTGGGCTCGGTCCCCGGTGGGCCGGAGACCGATCGGTCAGCTGCCCGCCCGCCGCCACCGGTGGGCTGGGCCGCCTCCGGAGCCGCAGCTGCCCGGCCGGACCGGTGGGCTCGGTCCCCGGTGGGCCGGGGATCGATTGGTCAGCTGCCCGCCCGCCGCCGCCGATGGGCTGCAACGCCTCTGGAGCCGCAGCTGCCCTGCCGGGCCGGTGGGCTCAGGCTGGGGACCGAGCGATCAGCTGCCCGCCCGCCGCCGCCGGTGGGCTGGGCCGCCTCTGGAGCCGCAGCTGCCCGGTCGGACCGGTGGGCTCGGTCCCCGGTGGGCCGGGGATCGATCGGTCAGCTGCCCGCCCGCCGCCGCCGATGGGCTGCAACGCCTCTGGAGCCGCAGCTGCCCGGTCGGGCCGGTGGGCTCAGGCCGGGGATCGATCGGTCAGCTGCCCGCCCGCCGCCGCCGATGGGCTGCGCCGTCTCTGGAGCCACAGCTGCCCGGTCGGGCCGGTGGGATCAGGCCGGGGACCGAGCGGTCAGCTGCTGGCCCGCTGCCGGTCCACCGCGCGTCGCCGGCGGCTCCAGGCCATGCTGACGCACACTCAGCGCGATACGGTCCCACCGCGGCGCCGGCACACCGAGCCGGGCGGGTGAGTCAGAGGCGCCGCTCGGTAGCCGCCGCCGCCGCCGTACCCCCCGGGGCCGTATCGCACCGCTTGCCGACGAGGTTTGTTGTAAAACAAAGGTAGAAAGCGTGCCGCGGCCGGTCGGCGATCGGCGGACGGCGGCAGGGGGCGGCGCGGGCCGGTGGGAAACGGCCGCCGCCGGTCCGCGCCGCCCACGAACACCGCCGTTTGTCAGCGGCGACAAATGGTGACGCGGCGCCGCTGATTGGCGTCATCTCTCCTCGGACGGCCGGAGGCCGGTGTGTGGCACAGATCGGGCGGCCTTGGTCAGGCGGCGCCGCGTGCTCTCCCTCTCCTTCCCGTCCGCTCTCCGTCGAGGCGGCGCCTGCTGGTCATTGCGACCCCGTCCGCCTCCGCCGGCGCACAGCCGGGACCGCGCCCGCTGAGAATTCCGCCAGGTGACAAGGTGAAAATGCCCGTGATCAGTGGAAATTGCGGTCGACCGACTGCGCGCAACAATGGCAGCTGCGTGCTGAGGAATGATTTGACTTTAGTCGACCCGAAAAACGCCAATATTCTCAGCAGAAAGCCCGCTTTCTCGCATCAGCACTTGCCGACAGCCATGCTAATGCGCTGCTTTGTGTTGCAGTCTGTTGGCCGAGTTCCCAGACAAGCACTCTGCTAATGGGTCGTTTTGTTCGCGACGTTCTGCCACTTCGTTCATTTGTCCCGGCGTCATATATGGTCATGCAAACGCGCGCGTATGGATGAAAGCCCGGCCCAATGCCGCAATGCCGACCGGTCGGAGCGGCCGACAGCCGCAGTCTTATCTGAACACGGTCTGACGGCAGGTGACAGTGCGGTCCGACCAGACGCCACGCCGACGGCCGCGCATTCCCCGCCGAGAGCGTGGGGCGCACGTGCGACAGCGCCACCGCCGGGGCGTGCTCTGCGCTGGGCCGTGGGCGCGCAAGGACAGGCGCTGGTCGTGCGCGCCGGCTGAACGCGGCCACTTCGGAGGTGACCCCCCCCCCCCCCCCCGGGGTGGGAGCGTCTCTGCCGTCTGCCGGGCCCGGCCGAGCCGAGCACCGCCGCCGCTGCCGCCGCCGGAGCGTGGCGGACAGCGCCAGGAGGAGCAGCCGCCGTCGTCCGATGGATCGGACCACACAGTCAGAGCAGCGCCTCGCGAGCTCCGCGGAACACACGGCGGCAGGGCGGGCTAAGTCGTGTGCAGCGCCGCCACGCTGTCCGTCATCCGCCCAGGCGAACGGCGTGTGTTCACCGCGGCTGATGCCGCGCAATTTGCTCGCCGCGGATAGCTCACAATCGCCGGCGGCCGGGGATGCCAGGAGAGGAACAAAGCGGCGCGCGGGGGTCGCCCCAGGATACCGTTAGTTGGCCCCGGACGGGGTGCTGCGGGATGGGTACCGCACGGGGAGCTGCAACCGGCACCGGTGTGCAAACGTAACAAGGGCTGTGGAGCAAAACGCGTTTGGAATCTATTTTCGTCATGCAACGCTATAGCGCTGATGTTAAAATTTTATTTGGAGTTGGAGGGACAAATGGTAGACCTTACTGAAATTGGTGCCGCTGCGCCTAGCCCTCAGTCCTCTCTGGGTCCTCCCCCTCCCTCTTCCTGGTTCCCACGCGCTTGACAAGAGCGGTTCTTTACTGGGATTCATGACGGGATATTGCAAAAGCGGGTACCTTACGGAGGCCATTCAGAGGGGCTTCTCGGAAATTGGTACCACATGAAGGGCTGCTGAAGAAAGGGCGCCACATGAAGGGCTGCTGAAGAAAGGGCACCTCATGAAGGGCTGCTGAAGAAGGGCCATCTCACATACGAGGGCTGCCGCGGAGGTACTGCACGGACGACTGATGCAGGAGGAATGCTGCACGGAGGACTGCAGCAGGAGGAGCGCTGCACGGAGGACTGCTGTAAGAAGAGTACTGGCACGGAGGATTGCTACGGTAGTGTCACCGTACAGAGTGCTACTGCAGGAGAGATGCTACCTGGAGGGCTGTTGCAGGGAGGTATGTACCGCAGAGGACAGCTGTGGAACGAGACGGCCGGTACCCCTGGCCGGGAGGGGAGACGGCCGCCGGTACCTCTGGCCGCCGGCAACACCGGCCGGGAGGGGAGACGGCCGCCGGCAACATCGGCCGGGAGAGGAGACGGCCGCCGGCAACACCGGCCTGGAGGGGAGACGGCCGCCGGTACCACTGGCCGGAGGGGAGTACGGGTGAATATCTTCGAGGGTGAACACAGGTGCAGGTCGGCCGCCCAGGTGTCCAGAGGCAACGGCGGGGTGTGGTTTCACAAGATGAATTTGGGGCTGGGGAGGAAAATTCGTGGCTGGATCCGCCTATCAGGGGGACAGCTTCGCAAAATGAGTGAGCGCCGAGCAGGGCAGGACTGTGCGCGCAGCGTACGCCAAAAATACGCCAAGATACGGATTTGTCCCGAGATTTGACTCACTTTCTTCTCAAAGTTGAGGAGTTTGAAGCCTAAATTATGGGGCTGGAGCACACCCAACTGATTAAAAACTAAGCCCCTGCTCCAACCAACTAGAAAACTACATCCCGGGCGGCGGGCTGCAGCGTCAGCGCGCCACTCACACTGACAATCAGTGCCAACGCTTCCAAGAGGAAGGGTCATTAATGCCAAGAAAATATTCGCGTTGGACGATGCAGGAGGAACGCTAGAGTGTGCGGCGCCTGTAGTAAGTAGGGCATGTTTCGTTAAGCTATCTGATTTGAAGTGCACTTCGGAGAGATAGATAAGACACGCCACGTGCGCATGTTTGGTAAGCTTGCCTTTCAGCGTTTGAGCTTCCCTCCATTTACAGAGGACACTGACACTGTTAAGGCGAGTTTTGCCCCGCTTGTTGACTGGAGTACGTGCCAAAGCCAGTACAGAGCTCTACACAGTTAACAACAGGCTACTTTCCATGCGTGCCCGGTTTTCATTCATGGCCGATAACTGTATCCTTATGGCTTCAAGATTGTTATCTACATCAGGCAGAGAGTACGGCCAAACGGTGAGTCATGTGACCAATAGTTGCCTCCCTACCCATTGATGCCTGGAACATTCCCAGGATTATTCCGCGCCCCAAGTAGCATTAGGAAGGCTGTCTGTCCTTAATTTTCTTGGAAACGGCTAGTCGTGCACTGCAGCGTCTGTACCAGACTTGACCCGTCTGATTGCAAAGCTGGTCTTCCATGAAGGCTCGTCCATCAAATAGCCTGCCATTCCTCCCTCGCTCCCATGAATATGATGATGGTATGCTGAGTATGCCTAACCTGTCTCCCGCGTCTCCATGTCAGCGCCAATTTGCACAGGTAAACATGTGATCCGTCTGGAGGCGGGCTACCTGTCCCGGCTTACTCGAGCGGCAGTCGCTTGCTCCCCGGCAGACGCGCCGCCCGTTATGCACTTGTTCCAAGCTGTCACTTAGGATACTATGACTTCAGCCGGTTCATGATTGTGCCGCTCGTATCGTCATTTCACTTGGAGACATATTACTGGCAGTCACTGTCTGTCTCTTGTGCGTGCTCTGCAGCATGCTGAGACATTCTGTCTTATGATCGGCTTCTTATAGATTGGGTCCCGCAATAAACTGCGTAACGCCCTGCGCTTTCAGCTCTGCGCACCTTCCATCCGCAGAGCTCCCCTGATGCAGCATGCGGCATATGAGTGACGCAAGGCCGCTCGCCAAAGGGGAAGTGGACGTGAGGCCCCGGGGCAGCAGCGTGCGCCGCCTGACCGTGCGGCGGGAGTGGACGGTCACGAGCTAACCTTTGGCGTCTGCGTCCGCCTCGCTCTGGATGATCATGGCGTCCACGCTGTGTCCGAATCCTCCATAGCAGTGGCTGACCTCACGCGGCCACGCGGACGGCGGCCCGCCACATCTCCCCCGATACCACCGCTCGCGTCGCACACACGCACCGTCACCCCGGCCACGCCGCAACCCGTCCCGCTCGCGCCGACACCTCGCCGGCTGCGCGCGCCGCCGCCGCCGAGCCAGTACTGCCGCCTGCCCGGCCGGCCACCACCACCACCGCGCCGCCGCCGCCGCCGCCAGCGCCGTCGAGCTACCGCCCCACAGCCGCAATCTTATCGCCCGCCCGGAGAGTGGCAGGGCGAGCCGCGAGCCCCGAGTCAATGAATGGGCTCGGGCGGGGTGGCGGAGCTTGACGTGCTATTTCCCCTTGGGTGGGGTTTTCTGAACGTGCCAGGTCGGACCCGCCCGCCCCTCCCAGCTGCCGACGCCGTTTAATCCGATGGGCACCCTCGGGTGCCGGCGGGTACGGCGACGGGGCGTGCGGGATAGGGATGTGGCTGGCCCAGACAGGGCCTCCGCGCGGCCCCCGCACTCCAGCTCGCTGTGCGATCCAGAATCGTTAGTGGGCGCCGCTGCAGGGGGACCGCACGGCGCGCGGGGCCCGGCAGGCCACGGTCACGCCGCCGAACGGCTTCATTCAGCCGCTGTCACGGCCGGAGCGGCCCGCAGAGCGTGCGCGGAGGGGAGGGGCAGTGTCAATGGTAGGCCGCCGGGTATATGAACGGAGAAGCGAGGCCCATGGAGCGAAGTGGGGGAGATTTGGCTGGAGGGCACTTGAAGGGCGAGAGTTCATCAATCTGGGACGGCCTGTGAACTTTCGGAGACAAAACTTAAGGCCAATTCATTGTAGCGCGCTATCATGCAGCCCGCATAGCTTATGACGCCGACGAAGAACAGGCATGAAGGCCGGTTTGCACCTGACCGGAGGTTGTTTGAATGCCGGCTGACATGTTTAATGTGAAGTGTTTTCTACCGCGACGTGTGCATCGATAGCAAATTTCAATAATGAGGATCGAGGTGGTCGTGCCCAAGCTTGCAGGCAGCCAAGACTAGAGTCGTGCGTAACCTGTCGAGTAGGTATTGCAAGATATCTGCAGTCCGTAAGGTGATTTGCTCTCGTGACTATTAGTCACGGAAATATTGCGACAGTTCAAGTTGTAAATTACCGATACCAAGTTGTTTGTTTTGTTCTTTGTTCCTACTAATGCAACATTGTCTCATACGTCTGCATAAATCTACGGTGTGCTGGGGAGATCGTTTGGCATAACTCTACTGAGCCCAGGCCACGGGAAGGCAGTATGTGCTTGAGGTTTGCGACGGAGGCCTGTCGTTAAAGCATCTTCAGGCTTCACAGCTTTCCTTTCAATAACGAAATGAAACAGCGCCACGGCACACTTGGAGCTGTATCCCGCGCAGCTGGCCAGCGAGCCGTCGGCGAAAGGAAGCCAGGCCGGCTCCAGTGGCTCGACATCTGACGCGCCTCCGGGGCCTTTCTGGTGGCGCTATCACTGGGGTCCGACAGAACAAACAACACGAGGTGCGCCTTTGCTGCTGCCCATGCCGACAGGAATGGAGGTAAGGTGCAAGAGGTGCAATTTACCGACAGACCGTTTTGTAGATATTCGACCACAATGAACGGAATGTATTTGTCCTGTTCAAGCAACCAATCTTTGACTGAAAGCGGCGCCACCTCGAGCGCACTGGCATTATCCCCTGCCGGCCTGTACAGGTCTGGGGTTGTGCGGCTCTTGTCCACACACCGGGGAACTCTCTGCAAGCCGTTGTCGGACCGAACACCTTTCGCCTGCTTCTATTCCCTCACTCAATGCAGGACTAGCGGGCTCCATCTGACACATGGTCGATCCCGCTTTTGAAAGAATGCTGGAAAGCTGGCTGCGCGTTAGAAAAGCCGTACGGTTCATGAGAAGCCTGCTGCGAAAGCTGTGACCGATGGCACCCGTCTCGCCTCGGAGTCGACGGAAATGCGTGTGAAAGGATACCAGCCTACCGCCGGCAAGGCGTACCGTTTGGGAACGCCAGGCTGGCCAGGTGACGCCTCGCCAGCGCAGGCGCCGCGGCGCGCCGGGCCCGCCACCCGTGACCCGGGGCGGCCGCCAGGGCACATCACGGGCCCGCGCGGGGGCGGACGGGGGCGGCGCCGGCGCCCGTCAGTGGCCCGGCCCACACGGAAACCTCTCCGGCCTCCCGCCGGCTGTACCAGCTGATCGAGCAGCCACCGCCGGCCGGCCGTACCGCGCACTTTTTCCGCACCGGGGTATAGCCGAGGTAATGCTTTAATTGGGTGGCGGCCGCCGTCGCGACGATTTCTGACACGCAGCGACAACGGTAATGACACGGGCACGGCGCGGCAGAGGCCTTTTTGCGGCACGGCTAATTCGGCGGGCGGCGTGGCTGCGACTGCGGCTGGGGATGTCTTGCCCGACCGTGAACCGGGCACAAAAAACACGGTCGGCCGCGGCGCGCCGTTTGATCTCGTGCCGAAGTCGCGGCCGGGCGGCAGGCGTGAAGCGCTGGACCGGGCCGCCTTTAGAGCGCGCCGACTGAGCCAGCTGACGTCCCAGCCGGGTTTTTATCGGTGATTTACTAGCAGGGATCGTTTCTGGCGTTTTTGCCGTTTATGACGGCTGGTAACAAATGGCCAATTGACTGGAACGCGGGGCCCACGAGCGGAGTTTGGCTAACAATACCGGCTTTTTCTGGTGTTGCTGACAGTTGATTACCACTATCGGTAGTACTTGATCGCAGAGCAAGCTGATTAGTCATAGGTCATCTGTTTAAACAGTGCAGTTTTTTTTTTGCCACAAGCGACACACGATGTCTTGGATCCCTTTCACACTAACTTATCGAAATGCTTCACGCACAGCATAAATCAAGCAATTTTCGACAAAACAAAATGATTTACAATGTCACAAAAAGTAAAAGCTGCCCCCACGGTAAACAAGCCAGTTTATCAGAGCCACCACTAATAAAGACCATCAAGGATGCATTTGTTGAATAAAAAAGCAGTCGACTGACCTGGAACCACATAATCGAGGCAGCCAACAATATCTATCGCGTGATCCCCACGACTATTAGGGGCAATCAGAATAACGACACGAACAGTTAGAGTCGATACCCGTGAAGAACGTGAGAAACTAAGCCACATACATCCTTCAGAGAATCAAATATCGTAGTAGCAATACCAGGATCGGGCGATAAAATTGTCATAATGCCGCTATTCGCATATTCCCGCACCTATGAGCAGAGGTCAGCGTGCATGAGCGCCGCTGTAACGTTCATTAACGAGGGAACTACTGAGCAGCAGCATGCAGCAATCAGTCAGACATGCACTGCTATTCATATTTGTGAAGTGGGTTGCGCATCCGGGAAGGCATGTGGCTGCATGCATCATGTAAGCATATGCTTATGTCCGGCGTCTTGACACCAGAACATGCGGTCGCACCATGAATAAAGCGACCTCCCAATCTGAGAGCCGTGTAAAGACACGTCATGCTCCTCGCCAAGCTCACGCGGATACAGAGCAGCTACGCACCACCTGAGCGTCCTGCGCTCTGGTCGGCAGCTGGTCGGTTCACTGGGTCCGCGCTCCAGGAGCGGCCGGCCAAACATGGTAACACGCCTCGCACGGGGCATCGTAGTCATCGCTCGTCACACAGGCGTTCCATTTCGGCTGGCCGTGGGTCGTCATACATGCCTTCCATTTCGGCTGACCATGAGCCCGGCGCCGGCCTGCCGGTATTCATTAATTGGACTCGCTGGCCTGGCAACAGTCAAACGGCAAAAACTAAGCCGATCCAGCCGTCCCCGGAGACCCCGGCCAGCCGCCGGACGTGACGACCCGGCGGGCCACTCGCGACGCGTCCGCGACTGACGTCGGCCCACGCCCGTACAACCGGAACAGCGCCGCATCACACCCCTCGCCTGGGCTAATGAATCCATGACAGAAAGCGGCACGCTGAGGGACTGAGACTCGGATGCCGTGAAGCCGACCGCCGCGCCGCCGGCGGCGGAAACGGCCTGAGTAACGAGTGCCGACAATGTGTAACTAAAAATGCGCCGCCCCGTGTGTGTGTCGGACCATTTCTGGCGCGGTCCCCGTGACCCGTCGTGGTTCGCACGCCCTCGGCGGGCCCGGGGCCTGTCCCAGAGCGCAGGCGCTTCCCAAGGCGGGCGCCGCTGCTCCGCTGTGGGCTCTGCACAGAGCGCCAGGCACGCGAGCGTGCTGGAAGTGCGGGACTTGTCATCGCACGACCGAACGAGGGACGTCCCCTCCCCCCCTCCCCCCCCCGATGGGCTCATCTGCACGAGCAGCTGGGGAGCGCTGGAAATAAGCGAACAATGCACGCTGACAGCCAATATCGATGGAGCCAGTGTAGACAACTGGGCGCATCATATCCGTTGGGGCAGTCAGGCAACCGTGAGAGAATACCAAACATGTACTCTTTTTCCGGATTCACATTATCAAAAAATGTCTGCTTTGCCCTTTTATCCCTGGTTGACCTGTGATGCACCCGTTTTGCTGCATATGCGCGACACTCGTTGCATCACGTCATGCGTGTTTCCAGTAATTATGAACGGCTCAAGTGCATCATTTTAAATTCCAAACCGCGGTAATTTGCGCGGATGCTTCCATAACATTTTGCAAATTCACCGTTATCGGAACGCTGTGCTTCTAACGAGAGCTAGTGAAATTATTCAGATCTTATCACACATGTTAACTGGAAAACAAACTACATGACACGCCGCTTGGGTGAGGAATGTTAAGCAGCTATCAATCCTGCTCCGAGCAGTCTGTTTCAATGACTCCTGATCAATATCTACACTGCGGAGCCAGGAAAGGCTGCAGACGATAGCGACCGAAGGAATTGGTCCACGTGAACCAAGACCAGATAGACGCATGGTTTTTATGACGGTGTGGGGTATAAAGCCTCCAGCCACTCCACGTTTTCAAGCTGTATTTGAGGATCTAATATGGAAGAAGCAGTAATAGTGGACGCCATGAGTGACTGGGCAGCAAAAGAGCAGTGAAACCGCGTTGGCAGAGCAGAGATGCGAGATCAAAAGCCTTGATCAAAACATTGTAATTCACTAATGCAACCCACTTTAAAGACTTGCTACTGTACTCATTGTGTTGGCTATGCACGATGCAGTGAGAACGGGTGGAAGTGACTGCGTTAAAATGAGTGATTACCCATTTGACGGTGGCTCGCGGGCTCAGACGATGCGGGCAACAGACGTTGCAAGGGGACCGTACTGGTTTTTCCGCCCATCAGAACAGGAGTCAGGGAGCTTTTCTATGTACTCTGATATAAGGACGCGAGCCTCTCCGGGTGCTTCTCCATGCGATCTGGCTTAGGGACGCGGGCCTTTTCATGTGCTTCTCCATACACTCCGGCTTAGGGACGCGGGCCTCTTCGTGTGCTTCTCCATACACCCAGCCTTAAGGACGCTGGCCTCCTCATGTACTTCTCCATATGCTCTGACTTAAATACGTGGGCTTATCCATGCACTTCTCCACGTACTACTCTGACTTAAGAATGCAGGCCTCTCCACGTGCTACGTCGCTGGAAGCGCCGGCCGTCGCCGTGTGACAGGAGACCGCCACACTGTCCCCACGCTGTGACGGTGGCACGTCAGGCTAGGCTGCGCTCCGGCGGCGCCGCGTGGGGCGGCGGGTACGGCTGTGGGCGGCCGGAGCGCACCAAAGCCGTCCATCTGACAATTAGCGGGCCCCACCGGCCCCCGCCGGCGGCAGCGGTCGCTGACGCAATGGCACACGGCTGGCCTGGTCACGAAGGACCGCTGCGCAGGACCGGCGTGGCCGGGGCCGAGCCGCGGCGTGCTCGGCGGTTGCAGGGTGTGCGCGGCCAGACGACTGGGATGGAAGCGGCATAGGCGACGCTTGGGGCTACGCGCGACCCGTCAGAGGAGCAAGAGTGTGACTTTTTCTGCGGACTGCCGTGCTCTCAGGGACAAAACCCAACCGGACGCAAGTAGGGCTACACGGCTTGTCCAGGCGAAACCGAGTAGGAATACGAGCTGCGCAATCGGAGCCAAGTGGGTCCGAGCCGTAGCCGCCGAAGCCGGGAGGTCTCCGAGCGCAGCACTCCAGTCCGATGCTGACAGGTGCCACCGCCGCACGGGGGCCGGGTTGGGACTTCAGTCCAGTTCAACGGGCGGAGACAGAGGCCCGTATTAAGCGCGCGCTTTGGTCGCAATGGCAGCTCACTGAACCATCAAGTTATCGGCATGTGCGACTTTCCGTGCAGCTCAAGGAGCTTTCCCACCCACAAATCCTTCCGTGATAACTCGCAACCATGACAACTTATCTCCGTGTTCAGTCTTTTGACAGCGTGTTGGTTCTGGCACGCTGTTAGCCTGCCGCATTGTGGATTCGTTTCCGCTTCGTGTGACCCGCTTCTGATATAAGAAATTGAAAGGATGTAGTGTTGCACAAAGCCTGTTGACAGTGCTGCTCATTAAATCCACCAAACATTGCTAATGCTGCGCACTGCACGTAATCTGGCAGAGCGCCTGTAGCTGTCACCTGGCGCGTGTGCGGAGCACCTGTAGCTGTCACCCGGCACGTGAGCGGTAGCTGCGGACTAGCCGAACGGATTGCTCAACTGGGCCTTTCCAGTTATGCTTGGCATTGCATGTATTTTGAGGACAGAAAATTTGAGTGACGTCAAGAAGGATCGCCAATCAGCTGCACCGTTTGGAGCCCGATGAATTCATTGCAGTGAGGCAGCCAGGCAGGGAAACATTCTTTCAATTAGTTCCGGACACAAGTAATGGGCCGACTCCAAGTGCAACCACGTCACTCGCTATCACGGCTGCTGGCGGGAAAAATGCAACGGCCAGTGCACTGAGCATGACGCCCAGGACGTTTGGCCTTAGCGAGAATCATTCCCACATCTTGCTTCTCAGCCCGAACCACCCATGCAGACTCAGGGGTGATATATCCATCGTCCCCTACAATTAACCCCATCGAATATGTTCAAGCGAATAAGGGGCTAGGAAGCGCGCTTCTGAAATCTGAAGTCTATAATTATTTCGGTCATGGAGCTTCCTCACGCCATAAACCCCCTCGCACCTTGTCAGATGCCATCATCTTCTGATGGCATGTTAGGGCAGCGCGCGCAGGACACCGGCGTTTGCGTTCGAGGCTTTGCCGTGCACCAGCGGTGGCCGGCTGGACGCGGCCCGGTCAGCCAGCGGACCGACTCACCTGCGCGCGGATGGTGCTGTAGCCGGCCCTCCTCCACGATCAGCGTCTCGCCCTCCAGCAGCGCCGCCTCGGCCTCCGGGTCGGCTTCGGCCAGCGAGTCCCCCAGGCGGAGCAGTGGCTCCTCCACCCGAAACTCGAGCAGCACGTGCGAGATCAGGTCCCGCACCGTCTGTCGCGTGTCTCCGATCAGCTGCAACGGCGGAGGGCGCGGTCAGCGCGTGCGGTCAGCCATACAGGTCAGGTGATCCGTGTGCGCTGTTGCCATCGAGTAAGGTTAGATGGTATGGATTGTCTTAAGCCAACCGGGGAACGAGACTAACGGGATTGTTTCGACTGTGAATCTGATGCTATCAAACCAAATGTAAAATGTGTTCTAGTGACGTGACTACGAAACAACCCAAGAGGCCCAAAGTACTTGCCACCACAATGTATCATGCCGTTATGTTTACCACGCCAGGTCGCGTGTTTTACTATGCGAGAACGATAGGCAAATCTGTCAGCCTTTTAACTTGCCAACACCTACGCTGTTTCCCGGTAATCGTGACAGGATGATAAAAAACACGATTCAGCCTTCTATGACATGGTTATATACTTAATGATGCCTTCGCAGACGTCGTTGCTATAACTCCGGTTTTTAACACGCACTCGGGTGGTCAGTTGGATACCCTTCGCTCGAGTGAGGTCAATTTGACCCCCTGAAATCTCAGGAACTAAGAGGGCTAGAAACACCAAATTCACAGGGTGTTTTGGTCTGTACGTGAACTCACTTAGGTTAAATTTTCAGGTTCCTGAGTTATGAACTTTGGTCAGGTAAGTCCAAACGAGGTCAAACTCCAAGATGGTCTCTAAAGCGCCCCCAAAACCTAGACACATGTTCTAAGCAAAACGTCACACACTCACCCAAGGTCAATGACCTTCTTTGACATTTCGAAGGTCATAGTGACCAAAATCATACATGACTGCTTTGGGCTTTGCATTTGAATAGGCGACAAAGATTACGCTAGGCAGCATGTTTCTAAAACAAAATGTTGACCTGGGTCATTTTAGGTCAGTGACCTATTCTTACCAGTCAGAAGTTCATGGAAGATATATAACAGGGTTTATGTTATTAATGAATATTAAATGAGCACCAAAACCTACCCCATACAGCCAGCTTAGAGTCAAAAGGCAGGCTGGTTTTGACCTTGGTCTGACCGTTATACCTGATCCTAGGTCAACGAAATTGGTTTCATTGAAGCATTCCTTGAAATTGACTTCGCTGAATCCATGGCTTGGCTCTAATCTGGCCAGCGACCTTACAAGGTACATCTAAATTTGTATACCAAATGATATGCTATTCAGTTATCTACAGCTTTCCAAAGTTTGGCGTGGCTACAACGCGCCGTTCGGAAACTACTCCGCAAAACCCTCAGGGAGAGGGGGGGGGGGGGTCAAGCTCCCCCGAGTGCGTGTTGGCCTACGCGTCCAAGCATTTCTGTTATTGGCGTCGCAACCTACAATACTCGATGCAACGGGAAACAAGACCTCAGCCGGCAGAAAGTTTCGATCCACCACGACCATTTTGTCCTGAGCCAGTACTCCCCCACTCAGTTGCAACGTCCGTGAGATGATTATAGAACAACCAAGGCTCGCGCCTCTCCTCACCCTTGCCGTGACAGCGCACTCTGTTAACCCCGGTTCAGGTCGCCATGCGACCCCGGCCGGGCCGAGGGCGGACGGCGTTTCTCCGGGTCGTGTCATGCAGCGGGCAGACCGGCAGAAGTGCCGCCGCCCGGCCGCCGGCACAAACGTTTAACGCCCGACCGCAGGGCGGCTGCTGTAGAAAGGCGACCATTAGCGGTCGGAGAGAACGGCAGTGAATCAGCGCCTGTCTGCTCCCCGTAGACCGGAGTACGTCAGCCGGACCCGAGTCGGCGGGCCGTGTCAGGCGGCGGACGGCCGCTGGACCGGTCCAGGAGTACCGCCGTGGACCACCAGTCTGCTGGACGAGGCCGCGTCGCGCCAGGCTCCGCGAGGAAGCGCGTGCGGTCGCACCGGTCCACCGAAGCTGTCAGCTGTAGCTTTTCCAGTCGTCTGCCAGGTGCAGCCTGTACCGTCACACCGTATGCTGATCCAGTGCCTTTGCCAGATCATTCAATTGCTTTGACGAGTGACGTTGGTGCAGTGCTGCAGAGGCACTATACGTCCGGTCGGCCACGATCGCCAGCGGTACGTCACGCCCAATCGGCGCAGGGTCATTGTCCAGGCTCTCAGAGCGGCCGAGTTATCCATCACAGCGCTGAGGAGGTTCCAGGGCCACCATCTACGTCTCCCCCTCCCCTCTCCTCTCCTCTGCTGCGTCGCCCCTGCCCCAGTCTGCCGAGCCTCTATCCGGCCCCATGTGAGCTCGGCCGCTCGGGGCAGGCGGCGGGGCGTTGCTGAGATCTCCGGCAGACACCACCTGACGTCTCGATGTCGCCGGACGCCCAGCGGTGATGCAACCCTGCAGAGCGGCAGGTAACTGAAGCGGAGTGTCGACACTGCGGTTCACAGCCGCGATCGACCTGGCCGCGGTGGCGCGGAGAAATCGACGCACCCGTCTGCTACCCCGGGCCGGAAATATCTCGTCACGATACGCGGAGAGTGTGGTTAAGGGGTTGGGGGGAGTGAGCAGCGTAGCTGAAATGCTTAAACGCCGTCCTGTTTGTCCGACCTTTGCGCTGATAATGACTATCGCTCCACCTTATCTATCCGCCTTTCCTCGAAGCATTCCAAATCTTTGCAAACTGCATTTTCTAGTTGGTGATTAAGAATCCGCAGCTATCGAGATTGCAAGGTGATGACTTGTATCAGGCCCAGAAACATTTGAATAAAAGCCCGTTGTCGTGCCATAGTGGTCGTCTTGCCAGAGCGCTGGAAATCCGAGCACTGCGTGGCGTGAAAAAAAACGTCCATCACAGACCACGGAAACCACGGACACAGGGTTTCTCGTCGCGGAAATCTTTCATATGCGGCTAGCAAATAGCCGTCATTAGGTACCGACTGACCAAAAGAGTGGATGGTGCGGGATGGCAGTGCCGTGGAGTTGCATGGCACGCTAAAATCCGTCGGCAGAATCGGTGTGTGATTAACCGCACGTAATTGATTTCCTGGGTGGGTAGTTTAGCAACGACTTTGACCCCAACGGAACCCATGCAGAACGTTTGCGTAACTTAACGCTGTAACGTATCATCAAGAGATATGTATATGTAAATCATGTAGGCCAGCCGTCTTACATTTATCGCTATCCCAAAAATCTATCGAATATTGAGCTGCATCTGTGTGTAGATGCCATACGATTTAGCGCATTCGACGACGCAAGCGCAATACGTTGGTGATAATCATGGCAATGATTTTTCGTATGGTGTCTCCACCTCAAATGCACGACTGTTCGATGACGTTTTATAACGCAAGTGTACACTGTCTGTTGCTCATGCGAAATCCAAACAAAGCGCTAATCATAACCGAAAGGAAAATATCACCAGCAGAGGCCGGCTAATGATGCCCAGACAAGGGGTGACAGGAAACAGCCTTATCTGTGCCAGGAAAGGGTTGTGCTCCTTTTGTAGCATGGTCCTAACTCATGCAATCTCAAGGCCCGTAAAAACATAGGAGGCAATGAATTGCGGTGCTAAACATCAGATATACGAGTGTCATTTGTGCTTATTTTCCTAAGCTGCAGTGCGCATGCAATCCGGAAAAATAGAGGATGATTGCCAGAAAAGTCCATGAATTTGCAATTTACATCTTACATTTAAACACCTTAAGAATCATGACGTCACAGTCAATCTAGCTTTGATCTACCTATCTGCTCTTGTCTCGTCTAACTTAACTCAGCCAGAGTCAGAACGGACAGGGATTGGTTCGCATTTGTCTGATCGGTCTCGGCGCATCTCAGTGCCCGGCCGAGCCGTCAAGCGTCGTAGGACATGGGGTATCACCTTGTGCTCTCACACCCACCAGGCGGGCTCCGCACTTTATCGGGGGCTGGGGCTCCGCTTCCGATCACTTGTGACGTCACCTCGTCACACCATGACGTCACCACTGCAGAATGGCGTGTCCTGTCTTGGCAGCGTAGGTCTGCGGGTACGGATTTTGTGGGCTGGGTAAGTGCACCCGTGCATGAATGGAATGGATAGCGGGCTGGGTACAACTTTCGGAAAAATACGAATGTGGGCAGGGCTACAGTCACATTTTCTCAAGGATGGCACAGAGCCTAGTAAAAGTGCATCACACTGTTAGCCATCTATGGTAGAAATGACCAAAATTCGAAACAAAAGGAGGGGTATTCCACTCCCCCCACATCCGTGGTTGCCCCTATAGGTATATGTACGGGCGTGTGTAGAACGTTAAAGAAATGTTTGTTAGATTTTCTTCTTAAGAGTGCTGCAAATTGCCACTCTTCGCAATTTTTTACCGGCAAACGTCTTCAGTCACAGTCCTTTTTCAATTAGCAATGCAAGATAGTAGGTTTAGAGGCATCTGAAACCGCCCCTCCCAAGGGCGGCTCAACGGGAGGCGGGGGGGGGGGGGGGCAGAGGGGGTAGTTGCCCCTGCCGGCAGGCAGGGAGGCGAGAGGTAAGAGCATGTCCCCCCACAAAATGTTTTGGAAGTCATCTTCTTCTCAGACTAAAGGTACTGTAGCTGCCCAATCAAAAACAATATTCAGGAGACGCTCGCAACTAACCTCGAAAATGATAAATGAGGCTCCGCAGACCCGTTGCTATATCAAGACACCCTTTTTTGGATCATGAGGTCACCGTTATGAATAAGGTACCAACGCTCCAGATCAGGGAGCCCAAATGTGTGCTAGGGAGGCCCCTTTGCTGGCTCGGGGAGCCCCCAATAAAAAGAGTAGGAGGACCCTGTTCCGGGTCAGGGGACACCCTCTATGTTAAGGAGGCCCCATCTAATTCAGGAACAAAAGGCCCCATTCAAGTATCAGATGGCCGCGGTTCCGCATCAGGATGCCCTGCTTTGGGATATCAAGACCCCTTGGCTGGATTTGGAGGCCCCTTCTTTGGGCGGTAGCATCCTACTCTCGATTGGGAGGGCTCTTTATGCATTGAGACGAAGCAACAGGAACAGGAGGCCCTGTTTTCGGTTAGCGGACCCTTTGTTAGCTAATAAGAAAGTTTCAATTCCGTCTTTTTCACTGTCGAAATTCATGAA